TAGAGCAGAAACTTGGTACTGATATATATATATATACATATGTGAAACCAATTAGACACAATTTCTGTGCTAATGTTTATAATTATCTTCATGGTGTATTTAGTATCATGTCTTCAATAGGGCTGAAAAAGTTGATCTGATTAATTATCTATCAATATTTATGTATTTTTCATACTCCATCTTGTATCTATATATTTTGTAATTGTACACCAAAATTTGGTATTTTCAGCAAATTAATTTTTATTGCACTCTGTCACTCTGATGGGAGGACGGAACGTCAGGACTCGACGTCATGGCGTCACCGGATGTTGTTGAACCCTCTGTTGCGTTCACTGACACTTGCCGCTTATCACGTTTCTAGTATTCTCCACGTCTAGAACTTTCCTGTAACAGTCAGAAACACAGACCGCATTCGGGGCGAAAACTCATGGCAGCCGAACGGTGAGATAAAATCACTCCGTAGCTTATCTGTGGCTCGTTTTCACGTGTTAATTCCCATTCATTTAATGAAGTCTTGGTGTGTTATTTTTGCTTTAGCAGCTTCAGTGATAGCTTCATTGACGAAGATCCCCAGAAAGCCCTGGAGGTAAACATGTTTTACATCCATGCTGTAATTAACCTCGGAATCGTTGATGGTCTAAATTTGAAGTGTTGCGACCAGTTATTCTTTAGATAGCTTAAAACGCTGTGCATAGCAATGCTTTATATGTTAGCTTTGGTTTAAGTCTGCTAAGTTAGCTAATGTTTCCTGCTAGCACTACTTTGGGAAGCAAAGGTTTCTGAAAACCAGATGAATATTTAAATTTACAAGATTCCTCTTCGTCTCTAGTTTGAATAATAACGTTTGTTATTCACTACTTGTAGCTTATGCTTAAAGTCAGCATTTAAAATAAACGTTACAACCGCATAATGTTGAGTTTAACTGAAAGTGAAAGCTAAGTTGCGTATTTCTGGTTCATTCTTTTGCCTGCTAGCATTTGGGACTTTTAGAGATGTTTAACCTAAAGAAAGGTTTCTAAGCAACGTTTCTGTTACAAAAATACCCTTAGACCGTTATTATTTTATAATACAATTATTCTTTGTTTTGCCTTTATACAGCTCTGACTACAACGTAATGGTGTAACTTTGTAATGAAAGTTGGTGGGGCACTCATAGGGTGGGTGGGGGCTGATGGACCTATAGTTACTTGACCCAAACGCCTTCATTAGGTTTTTATGTTTTCCAAAAATTTAGCTTAAACATATATTAATTGAATGCTTTCCTGTTGTTGAGAACACAGGAGAACCAATGGCGTAACTATCTGTAAGCAGAGACTGCAGTTGCTTAGGGGGCCCCGACCCCTGACACCTGGGTGGCCCCCCACGCTATTTATGAACTAGGACGTCTCTTTGCAGGTGTAATGGTGTGAAAAAGCCCACTTAAACCCACCTGATACTAGATTGACTGACCGGATCTTATTTATACCGCAACACATGCCAGATTTCACCATGATGGTGAGACGTTTAAACACGACACTAATAGCAAAGCAGTGGAACTTTTAATCACTATGTTATTAACTGAGTATAGTTTGTCAGACGGTTGGTAAAAAATACACTCATATAATGTTTCAAACCGCAACAAATATCTTAACTTAGATGTATTTGAGTATTTGAGTTTTTACAACACGACTTGGAATTATGGGTATTCCTTTATATGGGGCCCACCCAGATAATATTGCTTACGGGTCTATTGTTGTGTCGTTATGCCATTGAAGAGAACCATAATACACTGATATTTATATTTAGAGATATTTAGGGATATTTATCGATTAAAAATCTATAAATCATGCATCCCTACAATGTGCAGTTTCAAATAAATCCATTCATCCAGAAAAATATGAGTATGCTACATTTTAAATATAGAATAGCATATTTTATTTTTTTTTAACTTTATGGTGAACTTGGAGAAATATTTTATTGCATGTTGCATATCCCAGTAAATCTGTTTCACCTTTAAATCTGCAGCTCTCCCCATTTCTCTCTGTGTTCTGTTAAAAATTATTTATGAACCTCTTTACAAATATTATGATGCAAGAAACAACATTTCAAGATATGTAGAAGCTCTGCAGTCTGATTCTGTCTGCACAATAAGAAAATATGTTAACCTGTAACTTTGAGTCATGGTCCTTTTGAGAAGCCTAAAGGGCTGGTTATATTCCCCACAGCAGGTTGTCGCAGTGAGCTTGAAGCAGACATTTTCATTTATGCTCAATTTTGAGCATGGTTTGTGCAATACGCTGTGGGTCTAGATACGGCTGAGGCGGAGAGGAAGTGAGGGCAAGTTTGTGCGACAACGGAGGGACATGAGGACGAAAAAGTGTGGGGATCCAGGTGGAAATAGGGTCCCGGTGTTCTCGCACACCTCGCTCTTCTAGCTGGACCAACTTCATGAGTCGTTTTCTGCAATTTCGGTCATACAAACAAAACAAGCTGCCCTCCTGCCTGCAGCACTGTCTGCAGCAGGGGGTCACCAACCTTTTTAAGGCTGAGGGCTACTTCATGGCTACCAAGTCATAGGAAGGGCTACCAATACTGACCTATGAACTGGAGGGATCAGTGTTCACCTACAGTAAATCTCATCCATAAAAACTCATTTTTATTCTTGGTTTATTCTATTATTCATTTCTGCAACACCAACGCAGACAACCTAGTTTCGCAGTATAAATCACCCTTTACTTTTTTTTTTTTTTTTAAACCAGTAAAGAACAACACAACATTTAAACTATGTTTTCTCAAGTTTCTTGCATTATAATACTAACTTGTATAAACTTATCTGTTGCCATTTTTGCGGAAAAAAGCTCTGTATGTCTAACGAACTGAGTTTTGGATGGCATCTGTAATTTTTTTTACACATCGAACCAGCAACATCGAAGTAGTTGCTGGTTAATATTCACTGAGTGCTGCTGTGTGTCTCTCCTCCAACTACGTAGCTACTTTGTACGCAGTGAAATGCAACCGCAAATCAGATGTCTCAAACCCACACATCTGATGATGTCACACCAAGAGGCAGGAAACGGGAGCAGCGTGAGAGAGGAAAAAAAACACAGACTCAAAACGCTCTGAACACAGATCGCTGCACCCAACCTCTGTTACCTTTGGTTAAAGTAAATGAGTGGAAAGGGGGAAAAAAGCGGAAATTATTGTTGGAGACTGTCCCCACCAGTCCTTCACAAAGTTACGCCTTTGCTACAACCTGGCAAAGTAACACAAGTCCCACAGTTTAAAGTGATGCCTAATGATGTGACCATAAAAAGAGGATTTGTTGAATAAATAAATAAACAAATAGAATGTTTTTGGCTTGGATCAATACTTTTTCTGTTCATATTATTTTATTCAAGTAAACTTTATCAATAAATTTAAAAGATTGAGATTTAGAGTCCAGAACTTTTTAGGTTTCATTTATAAAGTGTTCACTTATCAAAACAGTAGTGATGAATTGAAGATATATTTCTTAACTTTAGAGAATTCAAACTGCTTTGTTTCATGAAAACATCAACAATGAGCCCTGTTCGTTCTAGTAAAAGAAAATATATATTTATTAGCTTTAATCTGGGTATGTTTATTTACTTCAGATTATAAACACAAATTCTATGAACCTCCGCTTTCAAAGAGATTTTTATTTTATTTTTTTGTGGTTGTTTTTTAATAAGTGCATAATGGAATCAGAAATTAAAGTTGGAGCTAAATCGACAGACTTGCTAGTGGTAAAATAGTCAGAAAGACTTTTTATTTCTAGATATATTAATGCTTTGCATTTAAAAGAGGCTCAGTGATGCAGCAGGAACTTTTTCCGTGATCAATCTTGTTTTTATGTTTTTATACAATCAAATGGAAATCATATTGAAGGAAGTTTTCTAAAAGCTATGTTGTATTTTCTCAGGCTCTTAATGAGGCCCTGGAAGGAGATTGTGACAATGCTGAGTGGTTCTGTCAGCGCGCCTATGCCCACATACTTCTGAAAAACTACAGCAGTAAGTCAAGTGTCTTTTTAACAAGAACTAGTTAATATCTCAAGCCAAGCTCTTGCACATTTTATTCCTCGTATTGTTTTGTAAAATAAGATCTTGGATAGGTCTTGACGTGATTCTCTGTTTAGTAATATCCTACGACAGATCCCAATATAGCTGTTTTCTCTATTCAATTAAAGTGAAAATCTTATAATCTTCTAAATCTTCTAGATGAACACTCTCATCTAACAAATAATAAACATCTGAAGCTTATTAAGAGGCTGCTGTTACTCTGTCCCTGTTTTCTCTGCTAAAATGCTTCCACGTTTCTTTGCTCAAGCTCCATGTAAATCTGCACAATCAGCTGATTATGAGTCTGTCACATCTTAATGATTTTTTTTTTTTATCTGGAAAAGCATAGAAACTTATCATCTTTGATGCTGTTGCACAAGTTGAACATACTTATTTTAACCTTAAAGGGGAATGCCGTTTTTTTTTTTTACATTGGGCCCTTGATTTTACGTTATTACATCACGTTCTACTCACCCATATGAGTTTTGTGTCATTTGGAGCCGTTCTGAAGATATTCTGGTTATATCCAAGTAACGTAATTATCATTAACCATTAAAGAAAGGATAGGGTTTATGGCAATAACCCCTATCCTTTCTTTGCCTGTAACAATGGAAGCTATATTTGCTGTTATCAGTGGGTAAAAAATAATTTGAATCTATTTTGAAGTGAGAAAGTCCACCTGAAAACTTTCAGTGCAGTTATTTCATCCAGATTACCATCCTGCCTTCAAATATTATTTCTGTCGGAGCCGCTCAGACCCCCATACGCCGGCACTCCGCAGTCACTAGGAATCCCATTCAACAGCAAGCACCAGGATAATAAAAGCGAACATGTTTTACCGGCAGATTTTGGCTTTTTAAGTTAATTTAGACATTCATAAACTGTTTCAGAGGAGCGATCATAGCGCTGTGCATCATCAGCACTGCTCCTGCTGACTTGCTGCAGACAGAATGCGCAGTCATGTGTTTTGAAGGCGTGGTTTCGTGGGGGCCTGAATGGAGAGGCATGGTTGTGTATGTTCAAAAAAAAAGCTCGTTTTTCCATGATCTCCTACAGCACCTTTAAGGGATTTGAAAACGATAAGATTTCCAGGAATGTAGTGTTTTAAGCATTAAAGCATTATCTGTTATAGTTGTTTTAGAATGATCAAAATTAGCTAAAATGACAAGGCCTGTCTGTTTAGTGTTTCCTTTTCAAGGATTTCTAGACTTTTCTTTTAACTTGGATATAAAAATCTGCCTGCTTAAAGGTCTTCAGAAAATACACACTGTCCCTTTAAGACAGGCCTGCCCAAAGTCGGTCCGTCTCGAGGGCAGCTGTACTGTGGGCTTTAGAGGTTTCCTGCTTCAGCAGAGCGGATTTTCATTGATAGCTGATTAACAGGCTTTTGCTGAACGTAATCATCAGAATCAGGTGTGCTGAAGGAGGAAAACCTCTAAAACCTGCAGGACGGCCCACAAGGACTGACTTTGGGCATGCCTGCTTTAGGACGTCACTACTTTGGTATGCCCATTAAGTAAAATACAACCCTCATTAACCACATGGATTACAGACCAAATCCGTCCATTATTCTGTTTATTAGTGAAGCTGAGATGAATCCTCATGAGGCATTGAACCCTTTGGCCAAATTGCTTCAACCATCCCCACAGTTCATAAAGCTTCATGTGAACATTTCACCACTACAGGTGAAGAGCACAACTACAGTTAGTAAAATAATCTGTGATTTTTTGCAATAATTTTTCTTGCTTTTTTCCACATTTAAGTTCCTTTGAAATTCTTAATGATTGGTCTGCATAATAAAATCTTTTGCAAGTTCTTTTTTGTGTGTGCATAATGTTTTGGAAGAGAAAAATAATTTATGGTGCACTATTTTTCTGCTGTTTTATTTAAATGAGCTCAAGCAGACAGTGAAAGTTTTTGTGCAAATTGGGCAATTATGAGCAAAATGAAAGGTGTTAGTCTTTTTATTCAAACATAAGAGTTTTTCCACAGTTTGTGGTTTAATCAGATTGGAAGTTATTTGTTCAACCTATCTTTTGGCTAAACCAACCAATATAATTTGGTAGTGTTTTTACCCAATATATATTTGTACGAGGGCAAACTAATACAAAATAGTCACATTAGCCAAAATACTTGTTTTATCGCAACTTTCAAATGTCTAAGGTGGGTCTTGAACCAACAACCCCAGCAGTGGAAGTCCATGTCAGCTGACATCACTATCATTTAATCTAACCAAATTAGTTTTAACCAGCTAGATTGGTTGGAAAAACAACCAATCTATTCATAGAATATATCCAAACTCTCCTACAAACTCCCACATCTTGACTGAATACTGAGGCTGTTTAAATGCCTGCCAAAGTTCCAGACGAGCTGAACCACTTCCCGAAATGGTCACGTGGTATGACGGGGCAGCGAGTCTTTGGACGTCATCTATTTTGGCTCCTCCCCCAAATAAAGCAAGCCTCGATGCGCGCCTCGCTGAAACGCCCCCTCCAGTACTCGACACACGCCTCAAAGCCTCGGCTCATCTCATAACATCACTACTGATTATTTATCTGTAAGATATTAAGAAGGAAACGTTTAAAGTGCTTTCCACTATTTGTGTTGTTTGCCATACTCACTATTGCCATGTATGCAACACTCTCTGGCCACTTTATTAGGAACAGCTTGCTAGGACCCTCTTTTGCATTATTCTGTTATGATTAGATCCTAATGGTCCTCAACTACTCAGGTTTTGTGTTTTTGAATTGTCTTTTATTTATTCTATGGAGCCCAAATTGTGCCAAGTCAATATATTTACACCACAACCGGCAGCCTGATACAAAGCAGGCTAGATCAGAGTTTATGTTGTTCATACTAGAATCGAACGTTACCATCTGAATGTTGCAGCTGATAAACCAGAGATCATCAGACCAGACAGTGTTTCCATCTAGTTCTGTGCAGTTTTATGTTGAATTATTATCTGATTATACTATCATGTGACATAAATGGTCCCAAATGTAGTTTTCTCCTCCTGGAAGCTGTCTTGCACCCCCCTCACCTGTCTATGATGAGCTCAAATCTGATGAAATCTGCTTCGCAGTTCTTTTCTTCACACTGTAGAGTATTTTTTTGTGAGCTGCCTGTGCTGTTTGCTTGAGATGTCAGGTCATCACAAGTTTTGGCTGTGATATTTTGGTGTTAAATGCAAAAAAACATTTTAACACTGTCTTATTTCTTCACTTTCTTATGTTTTTAATAAAAGATGAACCGATATCTTACTTAAAATAAGCCTGAGAGCAAATTGTGATTGAAAGGAGAGAAATCTGTACTTGCACGAGTGCTTCGGTTTTATTTATTTTTTTCCTACTCTGACAATCTATTTTTAGGCACAAATGTGAGGAAAAACGCTCACACTGTTGTACAGTGCAAGATGATTAATACAAGCATGTATTGTTTGTGATAATGTCGGGTCAATATCTGCTTTCGTCAATTGTTAAAGCTGCAGTTTCTGTATCGAGACTTCCCTAATCTTTGTAAGCCAAACAGATGGTTGTCCATGACATAGATATATAATTTAATTTCTTCCACTTTCTGCAGCTTAGTTTAAACCCAGCCATCAGTGTGCCTAAATGCTGCCATATGATTGGCTCTATTAAACTAAGCACCTAAAGTTAACAGAGAAGAGTCGATTCATGCTACCATCTTATCTTATCTTAACTACACCTCTTTTCTTTTTTTCTTCCAGGTGCCGTTGATGATGCAAAGAAAGCCCAGCAGCTAAAACCCAGCCTACCTTTAGCCTTCATGCGAACAGGGTGCGTAGAGTCAAACAGCTGACCTCTGTGTGATTATTTAAAGATACAAATCCAATTGGCCCTTGGCTAACCTGTCAAAAATACAACAGCCGTCAGTTCTTGGAGTTTGGTTCATCTTTAAATGTTTTAAATATTAATGTTGAGTGACAGTATTCTAAGCTTTTCAATAAAACAACATCTCTTAGGGGATTTTTTTCTCTGCGTTGTAAATGAACTTCAGTTTGTAGGTATTATAATAACACAACATGTGAACTAGTTCTCTCTGAATTTTGACTTGAACTAAACCTTAAAATTTAAAGAATGTGTCAATACATTAGAATATCAAAACTTTAATCTTTCTTGTTATTTTGATAATGTGGGCTTATTGATAATGAAATATCTAAAATGTATTGCAAAGGTCTCATGAGCCTCCAAACGATCTCTCATTCTGAGTCAGTAGGTAAGGCACACGGAGAAGGAGAGCCATGAATTCCCTCCAAACGCCACAACAAGCCTTTGCTTTAAAACACCAGCAAAGCTGTTTTTTATTTATTTTTTTAGATTACTGTTTCTAAGCATTTTCATAGAAAGCTAAGTGGAAAGAAAAAGTTGCATAAAAGTTGTCAACAGTGGAAAAAATTTCAGGCTTAACAGGACTAGGGCTGCAACTAATTATTTTGCAAATTGATTAATCTGTTGATTATTTTTCGATTAGTCAATTAATAATCAGATAGCCAAAGGTTCCTTAAAGAAGATTTTAATTGTTAATCCAGGTGAAACTAAAACATTTCCTCTGGAGGAGTTCTGGATAGAGCATATTGATAGATTTTTATCTTAAATGCAAAATGTTGATATTACTCTAAGTGGGTTGTCAGCTAAGTTGACAGCTGGAGGCATGTTTTAGAGTCTCTATACAGGGGTTGACGTTGCCCTACAGGTAAGCGACTTTCACATTTCATTTGCCCAGAAACAATTTTTACTTGCCCATTATAATGTTTGATAAATATAGTTCCTAATATTCATTTTTGTATATATATCAATGAAACATGTTTGTTTTTTAAATGTTTTTTTGTAATTCAGTAAGTTTACAGGTTCCTGGTGTGTTTATGCATGCGTCAGATAACGAACTCATGCCTACATTACCGTGTTAACATGCTTTTCAATTCTTCCTGCACATTCTTTACAAACTAAACTTTGCTTTAAACTGTTGTGTGCTTGGAAAAATATAAATTGTTAAAAATCTTAAAAAAACTTGACAGGTTAAAAACTTAAGATAAATCACAAGACAGAAGTCAATGTCACAAATGAATAACTTTTATTTTAGAGTCACGGTATGTTTATAC